TAGGAGAGGTCAGAAAACATGGTGAAAGACGAGGATTTGGGTGAGGGAGGGGAAAGAAAAGAACAGTTGTTCTGGGGAAGAGAGAGTTCTATGTTGAGTACAGTGAGGAAGGAGGAAAAAATGAAATGATTCAGAGGAAACCTGAGAAGAAATGTCTAGAGAGGCAAGAGGTTGGAAGGGAAGACACGAAGCATGTGACGGGAACAACATCCCCCACCCCACACCCACCTACCCCCCCAAAGAAGCTCAAAATAGGAGCACTGTTCACATGAGCAGAGAACGCAGACAGTAAGCAAGGCCTGCGGAACCTGCAGGAAACAGGAGAGAGGGTGACAAAGGGTGAGGTCATCTCACACCAGATATACTGGGAGGCTTTCTGTGGATTGAAAGAGGCTTTCTCAAAGGCGGGGCTCCTGTTGGCTTAACACTGACCCGAATCAGAGCCACAGAGGACTTCTGGAATTTGCCTTTCAATAGCAGACCTGGGGGAGGGCCCAGAGGCCAGGCTGTTGCTAGAGGGGCCTTAAGAGCCAAATGGGTCAAAGGTCAACACAAGCCAGGTGTCAGCGTATGTGCTGCCCCAGGCAAGCGCTGTATCTCTTCTCAGGGGGCCTTGTGCACAGTTCCTGGCCTCCTTCCCCAGGACCAACTGTGTCTTCGGGTGACCCAATAGCTCAGCCAGACTGTACCCCGTCACAGGGCCCCCTGACCTTTGCTGGGGAGAAGTCTGGTCAAGGTTATGGGTCCTCTTCCCAGGAAAATGCACATGGGCTCAGATACATCAACGTTTCCTCTCAATTTCAGGTCACACCTGAGGCCCACCTCGTGAACAACAGTTCCTAAACTCATTCATTTCATTGAAAAAAAAAATTGAGTGCCGGCGACATGCCGGGTACGACACTGGTGAGCAAGACAAGAATCCTTGCCTCCTGGAGCGTAGCTTCCCGTTTATATGATGGCCTTGAAACCGTCAGCAGGTCTGGCGTCGTGGCTGGGAATTTGGTGATCCTGACATGGGACCTACTATCTCAAAGAACCCAAGTCAAAGCCCCTCTGTAAGAAGAGAAGGGAGGAGAGATGTGAAAGCACGTGCTCTGACCAGAACGTTCCTACGTGTCATGCAGCCGAGGGAGGGGGGCGGCACCGGTGCTTTGGGAAAATGGTTGGCAGAATCCCCTAAAGCTGGACCTACGTGGACTCTACTCCTTGGTATCTGCACCTGAGACATGTGCGCACGTGGATGCCAAGAGACTCGTACAACAATGGCTCCCCAATACTCCTGGTGTCCAATCTCCTGTAAGCCCCTCCCCTTGAGTGTGGGCGGGACCTGTACCTTCTAACCAACAGCATGCTGCAAAGGGGATGAATGTCCTTTCTGTAATCACGTTACATAAAATCATAACTTCCATCTTGCTACCGGATTCTATTGACTCATCTCACAGAGAGGCCCATCTGGGAAGAAACACAGGGGGCCCCAGTCTACAGCCTTCAAGGAACGGCATCTTTCCCAACAGCAAGCTGCAAAGGTGATGAATGTCCTTTCTGTGATCACGTTACATGTAGCTTCCATCTTGCTACCGGATTCTATTGACTCACCTCACAGAGAGGCCCACCTGAGAAGAACACAGGGGCCCCAGTCTACAGCCTTCAAGGAACGGCATCTTTCTAACAACCACACCGCTTGAAAGGGGATCCTTCCCCAGTTGAACCTCAGATGAGACCCCAGCCCTGGTCAACTCCGGGTTGCAGCCTATGAGACCCTGAGCAGAGGGCCCCGCTGAGCACTGAAACCGGAGATGACACTGAGATGACAGGTGCATGTTGTTTTGAGTGACTGGGTTCATCACACTTTGTCATGCAGGAAGAGATGACTAATACAGTGGAATGCAACACAGGAATGAGAATGAATCAAACATCACACAACGTGGTTGAATCTCGCACACATCATGTTGCGCGAAAGAAACCAGGCAGAAAATGGAATCTGGGTGATTCCATTTATACGAAGTTCAGAAACAAGCAGAACTAATCATCTAGGATATTGGAAGTCAGAGAGGTGGGTGGGCAGTGGCGAGAAGGGAGCACAGAGGGAATTGGGGTGGGGGCTGGTGAGGCTCTGCTTCTTGGTCTGGGTTCTGGTTACGCAGGTGCATACACTTTGTGAAAAGTCTTCAAGTGAACACCATGATATGCTCACTTTTCAACAGTGTATTCTTTTTTTAATAAAAAGTTTACCCCCAAAAGCATACAGTACTCTGGAGTTAAATAGCCAGGGTTCAAATCCTGAACCCACCGCTTACAAAATTCGTGCCTGGACAAGTTACTTGACTTTTATGTGCCTCCGTTTCCCTTTCTATAAAAGGGAATTAAATGAAACTGTGCATGGCATGGTAGCTGGTTCCTAACAAGCCTTGATAAATATTAGCTGGTTTTGTTAACCACATTCATAAGGGTTCCTTGTTACAAGCAAGTGATAATAATTAATAATAATCATCACAATGAAGGTTTGCCCAGATGCCTGGAAGTAGAATTTATGCGTTTGTCCCACTGAGACCAGCTGGGTTCTCAGGAATCCTCTCTGGGGGCTTCCAGGGGCCGGGGCTCAGCCTGTCTCTGACATCCACACCCAGAAAGGTGCCAGAGCAACGGGCAAAGTGGCATGGGACTGTTCAGAGGTCAGGTTTGCTCTGGGTAGGGGCTGAGTCTGGAGCACATCAGTGTTGGGGG